TCGACTTCCACGGACATCCTCACGAACCCACGAACCTAATTTTAGAGAGAGAAGGAGAAAGGTAAGTATTTTTTTTTATTATATTTTAAAAAAAAAAATAAAAAATAAAAAACTGATTATCATGTTGCACATTAAAAAAATCTTTAATTATTCCGTTACACTGACTCAAATATTTTTTCCCACGCAAATATTTTTTCCGCTCCCAAATATTTGGGATGCCAAAAATAATTTGGGATGCCAAAATTAATTTGGGATGCCAAAATTAATTTGGGATGCCAAAATTAATTTGGGGTGCCAAAATTAATTTGGGATTTGGAACTTTTTGACCCTCGGGTCCCAAATAATTTTGGCATATTTTGGCAGCCATAATGCCAAAATAATTTGGGATTTGGGCGGCAGGTATAAGATTATCTAATACAATGAGTATATAATAATATTGTGTACCTGAATAAAATAATTAGAATACCATTTACCTGATATTCTATTTTAGTATCATGTGCCTAATATTCAAGACAATATCGGGGATCTGAGATAATAATAAAAATTATCTCATATCTATTACTATTATATCAGGCATATGATAAAATTTACAAAATTAATTATTAGGTACTTAGTAATAATCAATCATATCAGGTACCTGATATGTTTATTCTTCTCTGATAGATATCTGATAGGTACCTGATAAATGTCTAATATTTAAATTTTGACCTGCGGTTAAAAAACCATACAGTACAAGTATTTTTATATTAAAAAGCCAAACAGTACTAAATATAAACTCAACTCCTGTAATATCTATTTATGTCAAAATAGGGGTTAGGGTTTGTGTCACATGCAAATTAATTAGGGGTGTTACATTTTATTATCACCACCACAACACACAAATTTTTATTATATTTTTGAGTTTAAAATATTATTCGTCACACTTATATATCATCCAGGTAGAATTCCCCACAGTTAAAAATTAATGAAAATATCACGTGCTATTAGTTAATCAACCGTACAAGCCACAAATAAATCGTACAAGTCACTATTCATACAGTACAAAATGAGATTTACCTCAGTATCGCCGGTGATCAGAAATTTTTTACGTATTGCTTTTAAGGGTGATGAATATTCGGTGACGAATATGTTTTCCGTAAGTAAAAAAATTCTAATATTTAATGAAAATTGATATTCGTAGGTGTGACACACGGTGATAAATACACTACCCATGATAAACCCTAACCCTAACCCATGAATTTAGCACGTGGGGGTGAAATTTCTATACTTCATTGATTATTATCTAATAAATTGTACAACAGAAAGGCTCCCTGATGCACAGCACGTGGGGCGAAAATTATATACTGGGTAAGTGCGTAAAAGTGTTTATTGATTCTTTTATAACAATTGAAAGGTAAATGCCTCCAACAAGAAATGGACGTATTCAACCTCAATTTAATACTGGTAAGGCGAAACAGTATCAAAAGTTGAAATCACAAAAGAGATTGAGAACTCCTTTTGCCAACTTTGTTAGGTAACTGTCAATAATTTAAAATTTTGTTACTTTTCAATGCCAAAATTTTTTTTTTTGAAATATCGCATTTTTGTCTAAAACAGGGATCCTTATATACAACTCGAGAATGAGCTTCAAAGAGAAAGGTCATATTTACAGCTCATTTTGGAGCATATAGATAATCAAAAATTAAAATTGAAAACCGAAGAAGCAGTTTTACTTACAATACTTGATAATCACAATCAAAAAAAAACTACCAATGACATATTAATTCCTATATCAACCAATAACTCTTATATTGGTGAGGAGGTAATATTATTTATTTATTTATTTATTTTTTATTAATTTTTTACATAAGTAATTGAATTTGTTGTAACTTGTAATTTAGGGTAATCAGATAATTGACAATAATATTATACCAGAATTCATCAATTCAATAAATGTTCAACCATTTTCACGTCAAAGTTCACCTGAATTAAGTGACAATGCATTACCGGATTCGTATATTAATAAAATTACCTTTAATCCATCAAATACATATGAAGATCAAACTATAAATTGGAACGATAAGGGATCAAGTATTTTAAATGAACGTCAAAGTAATATAATAAATTCTAATTCAACAGATATTGAGATAGCAAATGCATTGTCTATTTTGGAAAATATGTCGGATGACGAAGATGAAGAAGACGACGACAATATAAAATTAGATGAGATGTCTCCAACAGAGACGGTAAACACAAATGAAGATCGCGACGAATACATTAGTGATGAATGTGAAGGTAAAATTATATGATATAATAATTTATTAGTAATCTTAATTAATGATCAAAATTCTGAAATCTTTTTCTTTAGATGACGATGACGACGACGATGATGATGATGATGATGATGACTTGGCTAGAGAAGCATTATCCAAAATGTTGGCCGATTATTCATAGAAATTTTATAAAATATGTAAAATAAGTAAATTTGGATGTTTATTGAGGAATTATGAAAATTAGGAAAGGAGGAAAACTCAAAAAAAAGTATCGAAAAAATCATACATATATTATGAAGGATTCACACCTGTAAAAGAGCTAAGAATGCAAGAAATTCATAAAATTCTTCACATAATTAAAAATTCAATTTAGATTCAATTTGTAAACATTGGAAAAAATTCGGTTTTTAAATTTGGGAAAATGTGTTGATACGAATCAAAACATTATACAATATACAATCTCAACTTATAAAATTAATTGTTTTCATTCACAACCAAAAGTCCAAAAATTTATCAATTTTTATTACACAGAAAAAAAGTCCGTTTTTTTTTTTTTTTTTTTTTTTTTAAATCACCACACCACATTATCATGAATATCATAATTATTATATGATATTAGTAATTTTACTTTCTTTACAGTTCCTCATTTTATTGTTGAGATTGTTGTATCATTGAAGATGTTCTATTATCATCTTGTGGTTGAGATTGTATTTTAGCTTCTTCTATTAAACGATTATGTATAATAGGATTATAAGGATAAATCATACCATCTCCTGATGGTTCCCCGATTGGAACTATAATAATAATAATAAGTTAATAAAGTTAATAACAAGTCAATGAATAACAAGAAGTTAATATAATATTCTCACCAAACCAAAACCACCATTTCGATCCCATAATATTTTTCCAATTTTGTTTCCAACCCAAATTCCATAAATTTTCCCCTTCTCTTATTGTAGCTATTCCATAATTTGATGGATTCTCGGAATCAAATTGTACTCTTACATAATTCGTTCGTGAACGTGATGATATACCTTCGATGGTTGTCTTGTTTTGTAGTATGTAAATAGTATGAACCATTGTGAAACCAGTTAGCAAAAGGCCAAATATGAATCCTCTATTTTTTTTTAAAAAAAAATAAAATAAAATAAAATAATAATAATAATATAAATATAAAAATAAAGATTTGATAAAATATCATGTGAATATCAGAAAATAATATAACTTACAATATCAAAAGAGTTATCCACTGAACATCTAAATCTTTCTATACAATATATATATAAATGTGCCAAAAATACGGAACATTAATTTAGGAATTAATTATATATAAAAATTATATATATACGTATAAGAAACGAAATATAAATAAAATAAATAAATTAATCAATCAATCAATCAATCAATCAATCAATCATACATTTAGATCTCTTAGTTGACTAACAACGAAGGGTATTGTTGATAAAACAATGAAATCGGCATAGATAGAAGTATAAATTATGAACAAATAAAAGAATTTATAATTATAGTAACCCACACAACCATTAACCCTAAGAAATATTAAAAATATGAAAAAAATAAATTTATGTATGATAATAAATATTCAAAAAAAAATGAAAATATAATAATTTAATCATATTTTACCATGGACAATGACTAATAGAATTAATATAATTTAATATAATTAGTATAATTAATATATAATAAATAATAAATCATAGGATGATATAATAATAATAACTTACTGATCCATTTTTAATACACATTTATCACATTCTGAACAATGATGACACCTGTCAGGTTTAACATAATTACATCTTTCACACCATCTTAATCTTCCATCTCTTTTACATATAAAAGTACTTGACATGGGAATTCTTATATCTGTGGAAGTTCCATTTTGTTGTATTATTGCAGTAGCATTATTAGATGATGAAGCAACATTAATTGTAGTTGTAGTATTTGCGGTAGGTTGATTTTTTATGGAAGCAACTTCCATTGGTAACAATGCATCCAATGCTCCAACATTTGATGAATTATTTGGATTTGATATAGGATTGAAACTATGTATAGTGAATGAAGTTGGTATTTGTTGAGTGGGGGAAACAATTGTTGATGATTTTAGAGTGGGTTTAATATTTATGTTTTCTCTATTATTGTTGTTGTTATTATTGTTGTTATTATTATTATTATTATTATCATTATAATTGTTATTATTGTTGTTGTTATTGTTATTAGAATTATGTGATTTTTTATTTTTTTTATTTTTTTGTTTAGGTGGCTAAAATATATGAAATATAAAATATAAAATAATTTAAAAAATATATATATTATCCTATTAATGAAAAGAAAAAAAAAACTTACCTCTAATGGAGAACCAGGATTTCTACATAATATTCGGAAATATGATATTATAACCATAAAAAACAAAATGTTGAAAATCACCAAATACACTACTATAATTAATAATAATATAATCAAAATTAATAAAATAAATGATTTTATAAATTGAAATTATAATAAGAGAAACAATTTACCTGCTTGGGTAATTTGCTGATTTTCTCTTATTAATGGTCCAACTAGAATAAATATCATTTTTTTTTTTTTTAAAAAAAAAAAGAGATTAGAGATTAGATAAATTATTTAATATTTCATCAAAAAAAAAAATTTTTTTTCTTCAAATCTATTTTTTTAATTTTTTTTCTTTCTTATTTAATAAAGATTGAAAATATCTTCACTGAATTATCATTTAATTATTAAATTACTTTAACGTATAACGCGAAAATAACACGAATGGATCTTGAATAAAGTTTCAAAAAAAAAAAAAATATAATACATACTACATATTCGATAAACAAATACATAATAAGAATATCCGACTAGAGACAATACCACGATAGGCATGAACTTTCCCACAAGCAAGGTCAAAGTTGTCATTATTAACAGATATAGCCATAAAACCTATATATTCAGTAAATTATGTATAACTAGAATATATCGAGTTGTAATGCAATTAAGTAAATTTTTAGAACCAAAAACGAGAGAAAGAAAAAATTGAAAATATATATATATATATATATATATATTTGAAAATGCAAGTTACTGTAATTTATCCTTTTACAGGCATAAATTAGAAAGAAAGAAATGGTTTACCGAAATCCAAAATTATATTCTAATAAATTTTTAATAAAATTACATATATATTATTATTAAATAGTAGAAAACCATTTATTGTGAACGAAAAGGATATAATAATAGTAAAATGAAAAAAAAAAAATATATATATTCTAATAATATAAGGTTTTTTTATATATTTTTGTATTTTTATTTTTGGTGAATTTTTTATATGAATTTATAAAATATTTTCTGTTTACCAATAATTTTAATTATTTTAATTGTTTTTAATAATAAATATCAAATATTTTGATATATAAAAAACTTGTTGCATTTCTTTTATAAAGATTTTCTCTCATATTAATCTTTTCCGTATTAGTCAGATTCCAACATCTCGGATTTATAATATTGATAATAATTTTCTAAATGCAGTAAAACTAATCTTAATGCATAATATAGTTTATTTTTTATGAAATAATAATGAGTAATGAAACCTGTTTGCATTAAATAAAATAATTTTTGCTCAAACAAATTAACCAATAAAATGCATTCTATTTTATAACCCCGACAAGCAAAGCCCCAAGAAAATTCTCCGAACATTTAAAAATTCGTCACTTGATTCTCACTTTGTAACATTTGTAACATTTATCACCAAGTTTGTCATATCTATATGCAAGTGAGACCATATGAAATAATATAATAATATTTTTTTTCTTTACTATTAGACCTTTCATTATTTTTTTTACCATTTGTAAATACAATTTCGCTCCTTGACATTTGGTTAATTGTTCTAACTATATTTATTTTATTATTATATATTGATGATAATAAATTTGGTATAAAATGAATATGTTTTAATAATTAAGGGATGTTAAATAATGTCTACTCGTCTCCAAATATAGTCAAGTGTATGATATATAGTTTAACATTCTAGTTGATAAATTTGGGAGTTTCTTTATGTGAGTAAACATTCCACTTATTTTTAAATAAGCAATTTCAACAAAAAATATATATAGCTTTTTCCTATTTCGGCGGAATTATGTCATGTATATTATGTAGTGACCCTCGAGACAAAAACAATCCAAAAAAAAAAAAACTACGATTGCCAGAATATTCTGTACTTAAAAGTAATGAGGTAAAAAACAATTACTATCCTAATCTAAATTTCGTGATGGTTTGGAAAAAATATTTATTATGAGGCTAGACGGAATTAACACAAATTAAAAATAACTCTATTAAAATTTTTTCTTATAATTGGCTGTTTTTCTTCAAGCAAACTCCTTAAAACTGTGGCGAATCCATATAAAACTTTCAGATAATATACATTAAGTCAAAAAACCTTATATGGGTATGCTGCAACGAATCCAACAAAGGGTTTAAATGAATTTGCCAAAATAAATAAATCCAAATAATGCAGATTACATTTTTTTTCAATTATTTTTAATATAAAATTTCAAAAAAAAAAAAAAAATTAAAATAATTAATAATTGCACAAATGTCAAATTATTTTAAGCAAATCTTATGATTTTAAATTTGTGCAGGGTATTTATATCATTAAAAGTTGGGTAGTTAACTGTGCAAACAAAAAAAATTATACCACACAATGTAAATTGTGAAAGGTATTTCTCAATCTTCTCAATTTTAGAATGATATATAAATAAATATAAACAAAGTAAGTTTGATTAATTTAAGTATGTTAAATAATTATCATAATAAATTATACAAAAAACAATACAAACCAGAATAGATTCACTAATAATAATGATAACGACTATAATTATAACATCACACGTCACTCTAGGTTAGTTCGAATAATCAATTGTTTATATTTAATACGAGTTTGATTTGACTCATTGCATAATGACTCTAACAAATGAGTTATTAGTCAATCAGGCAGTCGTATAAATAAAATAATCTCTCTTATTTAAAAGATAATCCATTTGTCTAACACGAAGGTTCAGATAAATTGTTTTCGGGTTTACAAAAATGTTGCTCAATTAATCGTGTTGGCACCATATGATTGAATTCTTTTTAATTTTATTTGTCCCGATATTACGGAATAACTTGTATCTTTGAGTTTTATTGCGCAAATTATCTTTCAAATATCCCGGGATGTGTTGCATTATTTCATTATAAATCCGATTCCGCGCGATTTGATCTCTAACATCCTCTCGTTTTTTAATATATCCTCAACTCTTTCCTCAAACCCTTTTTCATAATAATACCAACATATAATTTCTTCCTGATTTTCTTTCGTCGCACGCATTTCGGCACAACATGCTTTCTGATATAGATTTTTTGGTGGAGAATTTTCCTCTTCATCAATAATAGCTTCGACGGTTTCGCCCTTAATAGGCGTGAATAATTCCTCTAACAAACTTTTGTAGATATCCCGTTCGTCGTTGTCTTTTACTGGAGTTTGCTCAAAATCGTCATTATTGATTACAATTGGACTAGTACCCCTCTCTTGAGTATCGGTGTTTTTATTCGTGATCGGTCTCTCGCATACTGCTTTGTTCGGTCCGCTTTTCTTATTCTGTAGGTGTTGTGCTTTCTACCAATCCAATTTCTCTCATAAATTCCAAATCTTCATCACCATCTATCGTATCTGTAATGATCTGGGATGCTTTCTTTCCTGGGTTCTGGTCTTCAGAAGCATGTGCAAATTCTTCTCTAATGATATTAATGTTCCCAGGGAAAATAGGACAAGTAGGGCTCTGGGATACTTTACGTATAATATATTCTCGAGACAGGTTTGATGCAGTAGGTGCCCTCACGATAGTGTTGTAAATGCTTGAAATCGAAAAGTCAAAATATCTTTTCCACAGAGCTTACATGGTTTAAGTTTCGGAAGACATTACTTTCGGAGGTGGATGGATTTATAGATGCTTTTTCACTTGCCATTTTTCAAAAAAAAAAAACCCTGCTAACATTTCTTCCGGCATCCTCTTTTATAACCGCTCATACTTTGTTCGAAATTATTAGTCCAACTTGATGTAGCATTACGTCCGAGGTAAGTTATACCGAACAACACTATATGTGAGAAATTGGGTTGCACGAAAAACATGTGGATTCATTGAGATGATGATTTTGCATCACGTATCTGAGTCTTCTATAAAGACATTATATTAAAGAACTGCCGTATGTATTACTTGTGCAATATTCAAAAATTGTAGCTTTACCTAGAAACTTCTGGGCTTGCCCTGGTTCCGTTGGTTGGATTCGCTCATTTAATAACAGGAATGTTAATGACAAAAACTAAACCTTTTTTTTTCATTTTTTCTAATATTCTTCAAAAACCTGGGTATCTTAAATATATTCTTTCCTCCTGTAACAAAGTTAGTAGCTGAGAAAAATGGTATGGGTTGAAATATTCAAATGCAGTTATGTTGTTTACTTCTCTTTTTTCGTTGTTAGAAAAAGACATGAATTGATTAGTTTCATAAAATAAAATTTATATGTCTGTGGAGCAAATTACGTTACGATTGCACAATAAATAAATCTAGATTGCGACATAACCGTTTTATTCTATCTAGAATATCGATAATAAATGAAACCAGATTATAGATAGATATATTTGATTCTTCAGGTTTTGACTAAATGATATGAACGTAATGTTTTCTGATAATGATGAGGATATTACTGATTTAAGTAATGGGAAGAAAAAATCATAAAGAACTGATTCACCACCTTCCCACCGCCTTCTCGTGATTGCATCGTTTCGAAGACAGATAAATATTAGAAAAAGGCTTTATTCTAGCAAATACGTAGTCGTGAAGTAATGAAATACAACTTTATTAATGTACGTTTTTTTTGCATTATTACAAATAAATTTATTCGGTTATGTCTTCGATTTTACTCAATCAAAAATGCAAAGTAGGTGTAGTACGTCTTTATTATCCGAATCATGTAAACAATTATATTGGTGCATATTTTCAACATAAACATTTAAATATAAATTTTGACGAAGAAACTTATCGTCTCAAATGTTATGAGAATTATCAAAAATTTAATCCAAGTAGTAACTATAAAGTATAAGCTCTCTCTCTCTCGTCTCTAACACTACTACATCATATATATCATATATGTAATTAGAAACATTTAAATATAATCTATAACTATAACCAGAGATGGTGGCAAAATTCAAAAAAAAAAAGGAAATATTCTTCGGCACTATCTACAACTATAATATATATATAATTTTCTCCTTCGATTCTCATCCTATATCTTTAATACACTATTTAACATTTTTATAAATCCGATTTCAAAATAGAATAGATCTACCTTATTTTCTGAAACTGCTACCTACATTAAGTAAGTACATTCTGAATTTAAAATTGGAATATATATATGTAGCTTTATTTACATTGTAAAAAGTTGATGAAAAAAATTTCTTACAAATTTTTGTAAAAACGACATCATTGTTCTTTCTTAGTACGTTCCTCAATCCACGATTTTGACCAATTAATGAAAAGAGCGTTGACAACAAGATTATAAAACCTTATTCTCGGTCATCGTAACGCGATGTTCAATTCTTTATAAATAACAAAACCTGTTGATTTTATTTATCAAATCTGTTCATGTTTATAAAGGGAAATACTTACAATAATATCTTTTTTATAATCGTTTTGTCTTTTCTCAAAATCAATTAAAAATTCTTTTAACGTGTAAGTTATTTTTTGTTCTAGTGGATTTTGTGTATCATCAGGTATTATGCGAATGCCTGGCTAACTGAAGTTCTACGGGTTCTACGAACTATGGTACGAAACATTGCGTAATTAAGTGAAAAGAAATGGAAATTGTGTAAGTATAATAAAATAAAAAATCTCTGTATATGTATATAATAAAATAGACTCAATACACCGAAACTTAAGTTTTACATGTGTTATACAAAAGTACCATTAAATAAATTCTTTCCTTTCTATTCTTTATTCGGATCGTCTGATTTAGCACTATACAATGTATTTTGATCGCATACACATTTCCACTTTGGGACATTTTCATTTGAGAGATTTTATGCGCATCAGATTCTGAACTGGATGAAGAAGCATAATTAGTAGTTTTTATAAAAAAAAATCTTGTAAATATATTTATTATACTGTCAATGAATTTAGTCTTGTTCTAACAGTTCTGATAAATACCAATCTTCTATGGTAGATATGTCCACATGCGAGAATTGTAATGAGTTCATATTATTTTTTACCGCATTCTTTGGTTTCTTTTAAGATATTTAACGCGAAACTTTGTAAATTAGTAAGAGACATATTGTAAATGACTATATCAAGGTATAATTTTTCACTTAACACACCTGTTTTTATAATAAATTATAAGTTTTTGTTCCGCATATTTAGCATAACTTTAAATTAGCGACATGTCTGAAAATTTCACTTGACAAGACTTAATAATAGCGGGTTCGAAAGGAAAAAAATTCATGATCGACGAAAAACAAAAATATACCAATAACGATGACGATGTATTCAGAGTCGGTCTCATTTAAACTTTTTTCTTATTTTATTTAATTCGTTTATATCATCTTCTATAAAATCTAAACGTTTATTAATACCTTTTAATTTTTTCTCCATATCATTGATTTAACTGGAAAAGCTTTTTATATTATTTTTATACAATTAACTTCTGGACCTTTATCTACTAGTGCTGTATATTTTTGTTCATAGTTTGGTATTAGCTCAATACAAAGAACTTTTAGACCTCTATCTATTAGTTCTGTTTTAATTTCTCGTGTTTTATACATTATTGAATAATATATATATTTATTTATTTACACAATGAGATAAAACCCGTAGCTAAATTTTTATTAATGTAATTTTTTGCTAGAAAACATACATCAATTGTCTTATTTATTATTTGCATTAATTTATAAAGTATTCCTACTTTACACCTAACACTGGTCAAATACAAAAAAAAAAATCGCTGGAATTCTTAGTTGAAAGGTTTATATACTATGAGTATATTATCACTAAGTAGTTCACAAGGAGAAAGTCACTAAGACAATAAAATACACTAATTGTTCTAACACTAAGAAGGATAAATTCACTAAGGTAAGTGCTCAGACACTTGATTTGGAAAACTTTTAAAGCTTTTTTTCATTGCTTTTATCAAATTTCGTCTATCAAAATTATTGTTGCACAAACAGAGATCACGGTTATAGGAGACACAAATAATTTTCAATATAGTAATAAAAAATTCAATGAACTTTTTAAAAGCTGAGATCGAGAGAAAACGAAAGGATATTGAGTCATTTCAGACCGAAATACAAGGGCCTAAGAAAAAGAAATATATACAAAGGGCCGAGTTAGAAAAATTAAGAGAAAAGCAATATTTAGAAAAGCAAGCTGAAACAGAAAGAAAGTGCGAGGAAAGACGCAGAGAATTAAACAAATCGGTACATTAATTTCAGTTATATATGGGTTAATTTAAAGTATAGTAAGTCTAATTTTAATTAAAAATGTAATAATAGCTTGCGTCAGTCGCTGAACAGGAAAAAGCAGAAAAATCTGCCTCAGACAATGAAACAACGAAAGAAGAGGTATATATATATATATTTTTAGTTTGAATCTTTCAATCTAATTAATTCATTTATTTCATTTATTATTTGACCAGAAAGCAGAAAATGATTCTTCTAATCTTTCACCAGAAGAAGTCGTTCGTCGTTTAAGAGCAAAAGGACAACCAATCCGTCTTTTTGGAGAATCCGATAAAGATCGCAGAACACGTTTACGAGCTCTTGAACTTATCGAGGAAAGGTCAGAGGTAAACAAGAAATTTTAATTTTAACTTTAATTTCGTACAAATAGACGTTTATAATATATAATAATGTATATATATATAGGGTCAACGTAATGATTTCATGAAAACACTAGAAGAAATGGAAACTGGATTGGATCTGGAAGTTCTAAAGAAACGACCCGAAGATGAAGAAACTAATCGTCCATCTAAAAAGAAAAAAGCGGCAGAGGATTTATTTTTGGTATTATAAAATTATTTGCATATATATATATATTTGCACAATTATTACAATTATTTGTATTATATATTCTCATCTATTTTTCTTATATTCAGGACACTACTCCGATTAATATTGATTTAATAGAAAAAGATCCAGACAAACTTTACGTTCTCATTTATACATTCTTCAAGGTATGTTTGTTATCTTAATATTCTTTTCTCCTAATAATTTTATAATTATTATTTTTGACAATTTAGTTGTATTTCAAAAATAGCGTTTGTTGCGAGAATGGGAACAAGAAATGAATAATCGACCAGATCATATCAAAAGAAGTACACAAGGAAAACTTACTGCTGCTACTCAACGGCAAACAACCGAATATATGCAACCATTCTTTAGATCATTAAAAAAAAAAGTAAATCATTTATATAATTCACTTATTTAATTAAAATTAATTAAATAAATTAAAAAATTAATTTGATAATTTATTTAACTAGTCAATTGAACCAGACGTATTGGCCCGAGTAACTGAAATCACACATTATATGCAACTTCGTGAATACATGAATGCAAATGATGCTTATTTGCGTCTATCTATCGGAAATGCACCTTGGCCTATTGGTATTTTTTTTTATTTTTTTTTTGCGTTCTGTAATTATCGTCTATAATTATCGTCTATAATTATCGTCTATAATTATTGTCTATAATTATCGTCTATAATTATCGTCTATAATTATCGTCTATAATTATCGTCTATAATTATCGTCTATAATTATCTTCTGAAATATATTAATCGTTAATCAATCATTTTATTTTCCAACTAGGTGTCACTATGGTTGGGTAAGTTCATTTTTTATCGAGTATCTTGTAATAATTTAAAAATAACAAATTTTTTAAAAAATTTTAATATTGCTATTTAGTATACACGAACGTTCTGCACGTGAAAAGATTTTCTCTGCCCAGGTTGCTCATGTACTTAACGATGAAACTACACGCAAATGGATTCAATCTATAAAAAGATTAATGACTTTTTGTCAAACAAAGTACCCACCAGCTGATAATTCACAATTAATGGGTTAATCTTATATTCTTTTAAATTATTTAAAGGAATTATTGGATAATATTTTGTCTTTAGATGATATTTTACCTTTTGAATTCATAAATATTTTTACTTACTTTACTGACTGGAAATTTTGCAAAAAAGTTTTAAGGTAATATTTTCATTGAAAATTAAATACATAAATTATTTAGTATATATTATTTAACTAGTTTATTTATTTATTCTTATTATCAAAACAGATTTATGAATAATTTGAATACTCTTAAATGATAAAATCTAGATTATTTACAATAAATTTGTCTTAATTTAATAAATGGCTGTTAAAAGTTTATCTTGACAAAAAAAATATTATGGATATTAAAAAAAAAAAAAAAATTATTAATTTATAAACTTATTAAAGATAACGATATTTTTAATCAATTTAATTAATGTCTATTAATTTCTTTTGGAATGAAGTTCAGAATTTATTTGTTATTTCCAAAATTTTGGATGTAGAAGCTTCCCTATTTTTGACGATCCATGGATGAGTCATCACATCTTTCAAAGGTATGCGTCTTTTGGGATCTCGTTGTAGCAACTTTAATAATAATAATGTAATTAATTATGTATTTAAATAATGGTTTGATCATTTTAAGATAATTATGATGAAAACAAAAAAATTAAAATGAATCAAAAGTCAAAAAAAAAAAAAAAAAAAAAAAAAAATTACCGAATTAATTAAATCTTTTGCTTCATATGATAAATGTTCTGGAAATTCGAAATTAACTTTTGCTATTTTTCGGTAAGTTTCCGTACTCCCTCCTGATGTTTGGAATGGAGGTACGCCAGTTAAAAGTTCATAACATAACACACCAAGTGTCCAAAGATCAACCTTTTCGTCATAAATTTCGTCATTCACCATTTCTGGTGCAAGATAATCCAATGTACCACAAAAAGTTTTACGTCTAATATTAAAAATTTATATATAAAAAGTTATTAATTTGATTCTCCAGTTCTTTGGATATTAATAAAATCATACTTACTTGTGACTTGGTGCATGTACTGACCATCCAAAATCTGCAATCTTAATTTCATCTTTCATCCCTAATAACAAATTCTCTGGCTTGATGTCCCGGTGAATTACATTTTTCTTGTGCATATAACTTAAGGCATCGGTCACCTGACTAAAATACTATTATAACAATAAATAACAAAGATAACCAAAAGACAATAATGTTTTTCTTAAATATCTCTTTTTAAAATAATTATTACCTTTGATGCTCGTCTCTCGGAAAATCTACCGCATTTTTGTAAATGTGTATAAAGTTCTCCCTTTTCTGCATATTCAAGGATAAGTACAACATAATTTTCATCATAAAAGTGACCTAATAGGCGTAAAATATTTGGATGCCTTTTTATATATATATACATATATATATATTTTTTTAAAAAAAATTTTTGGTTATTCACTATTTTCACTATTTTCGTTATTTTTTTTTTTTATATCAAATTCATATATTTTTTTTTTTTTTACCTTAAATTAGTTTGAATCTCAACTTCTCTTCTTAATTGTGTTTGAATTTTATGTAAAGCTAACTTTTGTATGGACATAACTTTTAAAGCGACTATATATCCACTGATTTTTTCTCTAGCTATCCAAACACGACCAAATTGACCTGATCCGAGAGAATGTCCAATATCAAAATTTTTTAAAGCCCATTGACGTGGTGCACTTTATATGATAACATAGTATTAATTAATGCATACATATAAATAAAACAATTGAATTTTGTGTTATACATACTTAATAATCAGGTCTCTCAAGTTAACTTCTTTCTTTTCGTCATTTTTTCTTTTATTTGATTCATTTGAAAAGTTTTCCTTATTCAAAATTTCTGTTGGTCTACGTTGAGAGAACGCCGAGATATTGTTTTCTTTGTTAAATAATTCTTGGCTTACTTTAAGAAAATTGTACTTCTACAATGAAAAAAAAAAAAAGTAATTTTTTTATGAATATCTTGGTAATTTAGTAATGTATATCCTTATCAAAAATAAAATTTTAAAAAATTTATACCTGCGTTACTTTATTTGAAAATGGGCAACGATATATAGGCTTTGGGTTATTCATTTTCAAATATAAATTTTTAAAAAATTATGATAAACTTTGCTAAAAAAAAAAGAAGTTTACCTTTCGTTGATCATCGTTCCCAAATATTTATAGTTTCATGGCGCGTATGATGTCATGAACTATCATGTGATACAAAGGCCTTGAATTTAAATAATAGTTTTATCGGATTTTATAACAAGAGAAAAAAAAAATATATTTCAAAATTTATAAATTAAATTAAATTAAATTAAATTAAATTAAATATAAAAAAGTAAATTTTAATTAAATCATATCAAGATGATTGCAATCTTTATTAATTCTTTATATATTTCTCCATTCCTTAACTAAAATCTTTACTACAATCTACAATCAAATTTTTTTACTAAAATTGCTTATAATTTCTATTATTCATAAATCCTCTATTCATAATATTTTCTTTAAAATTAAAATTAAATGCATAAAAAATGACAAAAAAAATCAATCTTCTTTATAATAACTTCTTCATAAATAAAACTTTTCTATATATTCATAATCAATTAATTAATTATTATTATTATTATTATTATTATTAAATTATTATTATTAGATATATAGATATATAATAATAATAATAATAATATATATATATATATATTATATTTTATATATATATTACATTATATATAACTCACTCTATACATACAAAAAAAAAATAACAGTTTCTTTTTTCACCCATAATTTTAAAATCCCAATAATCGATTACCTGTACGACCATTAAGTGCAGCTGATAATGCTGCAGTAGTAAGTGCCGTAGTAGTATTTACATTCCATCCAAGTTGCATTGATATTTGTTGGGTTAATAACTTCCAAAATTCATTTGCTAATCCACCACGAAGTATAACTACCATAACCAGATAATATATTACACCTGTTACTCTACGAGCAAGAAATCGTCGTAACATTCTTTGTGAATTATGCTTTAATTTAGTGTAAAGTCTTAATAGAAGATAGACACTAGATTTGTAATTCGTTAATGGATTATTATTATCAATAATAATAATATTATTATTATCCTTTGGTAAGTCATTTTTAAAGTTGAATTGATTAATATGATTGAATTGTGAAATTTGTTGAGATGAATAATTATTAATTTTTGTATTTTGAGTGTCCATATTTTGAGTTCCCATATTTTGAGTATACATATTATTTATATGATTTTGATGAATTGGATGAATTGAATGAATGGGTGTCATGGGTGAAATGAAACCATTATGATTTGAGTAATTTGAGTGATGATTATGCGACGTAATTGCGGATGATTCCGGATTAATCTCTGTAAATTGAAATTGTTGACGCGATCGCATAGGTTTAGGGGTAACAATATTTGGTCGGCTATCATTAAAAGTACTGAAAAATGGATTAGCACGTGGTGTCATTTTTAACCAATTTGGAACAGATACGTAATCTTGCCCTGGAGATGCGGGACGGCTTGGATACGGTGTTGATGGTCGACTTGACAAGGGAGTCATATAATATGGTGTGGATGGTCTGCTGTGATATGGCGAAGTATGAGCAGAGAAAAAAACCTCATGTAATGAATCGAAAGATGTAACTCTGCTCAATGGTTTTGGAATTTGTAAAAGTGGTTTCGGATTTCCATAATATTGGAAAGTTTCACATATTTCCAAATTATATTCACATTCATCTAACCCACCATGTTCTATAAAAAAGTATATATAAAAAAAAAAAGAAATAAATAATATTTTCATATAATTATTTCAAAAAAATATAAAGATATTGTAGATAAGAGTATATGCTATATGACGTACCAATCAACAAGTTTTCTTCATCAAAATAATTTAATAATTCTTTTTCAGAAGGGAAAAAGATACGATTTAAAGAATCCTCAGGAAGAATGCGTTTAAAAATTTGCCATAATCCAAAATACATAACACCATAATTTAATACAAATACTATATATTTAAAATAAAAAAAATAAAAATTAGTCAACAAGTTAAATGATATTGAAATCAAAAAAAAAAATAATAATAATTATATTTACTTGATCCCACAGATCCGGGAAAATGATGTCTCATAATGTCGATGGTAAAGGGTCCTAATTCAAGGTCCTAAAAAATAAATTAAGAACAAAATACAAATAAAAAAATAAATAAATTAATTAAAAAATAAAATAAATAAATTAAATTAAATTATAATGTAGGTAATTATCATTAAATTCTATTAAATTCACATCATCATCATCATTCATTAATTACCAAAGTGGAAACTCCGGCTCCTTTCAAATCTAATAAAATAACGTATTGTAACACAGGGCCATCCCTTGACTCTCTACTCCTGTCAAAGAGTAATCTTCTAATAACTTCGGCATTAAAGATAATATATTTTTTTATTTCATCGATAGTAGGAAATCCATCCTCGCGTACATATTTCCTTAAACTGAATATAGCACAAGGACGATTGAATCTATCTGTTTTATGAATAAAAAAAAGGCCTTTTTCCATAAGAAGTGGATGAATATCTTGAATGGCTAATGAATCCACATTGTTGTCAATACGCCACCGAATATCAACCATGAGTTCCCTCAAAGCATTGTCGAAATCGAAGTTAGCTCGTCTGAGGAAACGAAAAAGAGTGCCTAAAACATTCAATTTTATAGTAAAAATAAAAAAATATATAAATGACATAAATATAAATATAATATAAATATAATATAAAATATATTTGTAAAATTATAAATATTATTAACATTATTAAAATTTACCTCTATCATCGAGATATTGTCTAATGCGTTCAACTTGAATAAAAACCAAATCTAGTTCTTCCTGGAGTTCATGTAAAAAATCCAAGAGCGCAATTCGCAAGTCATCAATTACAGAGTCATATTCTTTGTATAATGCTTTAAATTGAATAATTTTTTCTCCAATATTCATTATTTTCGTAAAAAAAAAAGGAACAAATATATATTTATATATAATAATAAATAAATATATATGTGTATACTTAATTAAAAAAAACGCAGATAAGACCGTAAGATAAAAAAAAAAAAAAGGAATAGGGTAAAAAAAGGGAATAGGAAAAAAAAGAATAGTAAGAATAGAGAGTAGGAGAAATTTGATCGTATGGTTTAATAGAAGAAAAAAAAATTGAGGAGTGAAGTTTAGATAAAAGAAGAAAGAAGAAAAATAATTTTTTTTTGTGTAATGAATTACAACAGATATAGAAATTAAAAATTTGACACATGCGAAATTTGAAATAAAATAAAAACTGATTAGATCATCATATATGTAATTTGATGATTTTTTATACATAAAAAAGTGTGCACATGAGCAACACTACCACCGCCACTGAATAATGGTGACATCAAATAAAAATTATCTTGTTGTATTTGACAGATAAATTCTTGGACAAATGTAGCAAGTATTCAAGCCATTATGCAAAATATCAAAACTGCCCCAATTAACTTTTCACATGAAAGATACAAAAACATGCAACACATGATCTTTGATCCAACAATGGAATCTAATCATTGACGAAAATCAAGTATCATGTGGTTAAATTGTTCATTTTATAATTTCCCAATATAATAATAATCAATATAATATAACCAATATAATAATAACCAATATAATAATAAGTATAATAATAAATATAATAATACATTTTATTCTAAATACATTATTATATATAAAATTATAAATTATACTAAAAATTATTTATTGAAGTAAAATCAAAAAATAAAAAAAAATAAAAATAAAAAGATAAAAAAAAAAATCAGTTTGTAAAAGATAAAGATAAAAAAAAAATCAGTTTGTAAAAGATAAAAGATAAAGATAAAATAAAATCAGTCAATTTAGGGAAAATGATCAATCTTATTAGCCTTATCAGTTCATTATAATTATATCTATCGATGATGTTGTACGTGCCGATTGATGTACGTGCGATGGCGTTCTCGATCGTAACATTATCAGCAGCCGTGATGGAATTTAATTAATAACATATAATGTTCGAATGCAAGTAAAAGAAAATATATTTATGTATTGGTTGATCTCTAATTGCTATAATAATAATAATAATAATAATAATAATAATAATAATAATAATAATAATAATAATAATAATAATAATAATATTTGCAAGCATCCATTATTTCAGGTTTGATGTTTACAATTCTCAATTCTTCAATTCAACAGGTTTGTCTTTCATCCATTCATCCAATCTAAATATTTATAACCTAATTCTTTGATTTTTTTTTATACTTTGTATCCATTTGATCATAATATCCAGACCTTTTCTCTCTAGGCACAAAGATCTTATCTGTTTGTATTACACTTATAAAACTCGAAGCGTGATGCATAGTTAACCCACTTCCGACCGTTCTGATTTTCACATTGGTTTTGTGAGGGTGTATTATGTACACTTGTAACACACTAAACAGAATGCGCAATTAAGACACTTCCAATCGCTTGGAACTTGCCTTGATGAATTAACCCTTTTCGCCTTATTTTTCATGTATTGGAATACTGTATTAAATTTTATAATAAATTTTCCCATGGTGACTTTTTGAACGTACAGGTACACTAGTGTGCATAAACATTTCAATTTTTAGATACTGATATCGAACTTTATTATTTTATTTTTTGCTTGTCCTTGACGTCCTTATATATTAAATAATATATTTTATACACATTTAAATGAATATTTTATTACAAAAAAATGCTATAAAGTTAACTATGTTTAAAATTAAGCCTTGACAGCATATTTTCGTTGAGGGAAATGGATAACCCTCATTCGATCACTTTTAACCAATTTAACCAAAATATAATAGTTTAAATTAGTTTAAATTAGTTTAAATATTAATTTTGATTAGAATTTAAATGTAAGAAAATATTTAAAATATTTACCGATTGGTCATCCGAGATGCCTCATACTACAAAATAATAAAATAATAAAATAAATAATAAAATTAAAAAATATTAATGTGTTATGTCATATAAGCGAGATGAATGGTTAAACTTACCTTTGTTAATTTACGACGAATGGCACGAGTCTTTTTTGGTCTAAGATCAAGAGGTTTGTATTTTTTACCCTTGAAGAAATTACGAAGATGGTTACGTTGAGTTTGTGATATTACGGTTTTAACTCGTGCAATTGACTTGCGGACCTCACGACTACGGAAAAAATAATGAAATAAATAAGAATTCCTTTCAAAATAATTACACAAAGAAAATAACTAAAAAATGTAAGATCTAACATACAGTTTTGTCAACTTTGATGCAGCACCACCTGCAATTTTTTGAACTTTTAAGGTAGCTAAATCTTGTTTAAGTTCATCAAGTTGTTTTTCTAGCTCATTCTTATTTTTGCTGCGAATTTCGTAAGCCTTGACAGGAGGCTTTTAAACGGTTGAAAAGTGGAATTCATCAAAATAGAATTAATTATTTAATTCACATTGATGAACAAGATTTGTAAAAAATTGATGCCAAAACTAACAATATATCCAATTGCATAGTTATATTAAAAAAAGAATTAATGAACGGAATACATACCATGATTAAAAATATTTTTGTCTATTCTGTGCTGCGTAGCGAGAGAAGGAATAAATTTTTATGATTTTTTTGAATAAATTTTTTTATAATCACCTCAGGAATTTCCGATGTTACACATAACGAACTGATCAACAAAGTTACCGGTTATGAAGATTTCACGTTTTCCCTTATGATACACTTTAACTATTTTTCATAATTTTGCCGTAATGCCGTAATTCTGCCGTAATTCCGTAATTCTGCCGTAATTCCGTAATTCTGCCGTAATTCCGTAATTCTGCCGTAATACCTTTTTGACTTTGGCCGTGATTTATTTGACAGGAAACGGTTTTCTATTTATAACAAATAGAAAGCCCTAGTTCTTGACTCCAATATATTTATTTTTTATTCCTGTAGCATCAATATTCATGAAGATATTCGTGTTTAAAGTTACGTTATAAATTTTTAAACGTATAAATCATGTGATTTATACATAAGCTTACACAAAAAAATTCCATTCAAGATTTTTCTAAAATAGAAAGAAAGGCCTGTTCTTTACTACAAAATAACACATGTTTCATTCAGGTAGCATAGATATTAGTGTTAAACTTAAATGTCTGTAAAAATTTCTATTATAAATTTCTGTAATTTTGGTTAAATAAAAAATTTTCATTAAACATTTAATTTAAACATGAATATTTTCATGAATATTGATGCTATTGGAATAAAACACATGTCATTTTGTAGCTAAGAACAAGACCTTTCTTTCTATCTTAAAAGGATCTTAATAGAAATCCCTTTACATTTACAAATCATAAATGAAATCAAAAAATATAAAAATCTTCTATTGTCTATATGTATTAAAGTTAACTCTTGCTTATCTACAAAGTCTTTTGTTATCTACTTTACAATCTACAGTTACTTGACTTTAATATATAGTAGATTGACTGGATTAACAGATATTTAATTCTCAAGATTTCAGATTATAATTTTTTTTTAATGATTCTATAATAATAATTACAGTTTCTATAGTTTTATTATTAAAACATTATTGAGAAATAATTCAGCTAAAAAAAAATCCAACTATTTACTTTTAACAAGTTACAGAAAATATAGAATTCAGAAGACAATATATTTTTCATTTAGAAATGTCTGAATTATATATGTTTTTAAAATTGATTTTAAATTTTTGAGGTATTTTAATTTTTTGAAATTTATACAGAATTTATTCTATATATGGAAGTAAAAAAAATATCCAGTTATATGTATTTTTAATTAAAGAATAAATCTGAGTGGTCAAAAAATTTTGGATTTTAAGTAAAATAATTTTGTCTTCTATGAAAAACTATTTTGACTTTTTTCCTTAAAATTATAATTTTAGGATTTCAAAATAATTTTGTGTACAAGTATAGTCTGAACAATCCATTATAAATATTCTTATGACTAAATATACAAATCAAATATAAAAGATATATTATATACAGATTAAATACAAAAAAATTACTGTATTCAAAAGAAATTCCAATTTTAGCTAATTTATAATATAGTTTATTCCTTTATAATTATACTTTTAAAGATTATCTAAAGGTGTAATTATATTGAGGTGTTCTTATTCTGAGATTTTATTTATATAATTATATATATATATATAATTTATATAGATATAATTTTAAAAAATCAAATACTGTAGAAAAAATATTTCAATTATTTATTAAAATGTAATAAAAAAAAATTATATTATTATTTAAAATAAACTAATAAAGAATAAAATTATTGTTCAGTGTCATCAATGGTTCCTGATTCCTTTGAAGTTAAACTAGTAAAGTGACTTAACAGTTCTTTTAAGGAGTTTATAGTTCTTTTCTGAAGGTAAGATTGTTGTTCAGTTGTTTTAGAAGGCATCACTGATTTAGTTATTTTAGAAAAGGAATTAGATCTTTTATCCAATTTATTTCAATATCTTTTAAGTTCATCATTACTTTTAGTATTAACATCTATTTATTTATTGTTTTTCAATTTTATTATAGTTAAGTATTACTTTTATTTATTCAAGTGAAGTATTATTTCAAATTCAGGATTTATAATAATAGTTTATAATTAATTTCATTAACTCAAGAATGATATAACTTTTTATTTAATATTTTCAATATTCATTATTTTATTAATTCAATTGCAGAATAATTTTTTACAAGTGTTTATCTTGGAGTTACAAATTATAAAATTAAATTTATCAATTTTAAATAAGTTATAAATTATTAAAATTCAAAATTATAATATTGTAAACTAGAGGGGCAAGGTAATTTCAGTTTCCTTTTTATACTTAAATCTAATAATCTTTATTGATATATCACTACTGTACATTACTGTGCACTATTTCTATTGGTTACTATTTCTTTATATTATTTACTAAATATATTTAATACTAATTGATAATAGATGTTAATAACTATTGTTAAATAATAATATGTGATAATAATTTATATTATAAATTAATAATTATGTTTGTGTAACTAAATGTCACGTGAACACGTGATCTTGTACTATTATCACATGACTAATTAATATGTGTTACTGGATATAAATATTAGTTGAAATGTTATTAAAATATTACTATTCATTAACTAAATTAATATTTATTAATTGAATTTTAAATATTACTATTTTCTAATGTTATTGTTAACTATTTACGGGTGTTTTTGATATTGTATACTATACTTTTCAATCATAATAATCTTATTCTGTAATAACATTTATTGTGTCTGCTTTGTAAAGCAACTAATATTTAGCTATAATATTATGAATAGTGGTCTTTCTATAGCCAGTTTTCTGTGAAATGGTTCTTTTCAAGCTTCCAGCTTCATGAAGTCTGATAATTTTGCTACACTTGAAAGTCAATAGTTCTTTTTTTTTAACCATTTGACAAAAACAAAAAGAGAAAATCATGGAAAACAAATTGTATGCATGATGATTTATATTTTATTTATTGTTATTATGATACACAGTTGTTATTTTATTATATAAGATTTTATTTTTGTTACACATTTATAAAAATCATTAAGATGGTCCTAAACTTTTAAGTAAGTATTGTATCTAAACAAAATAAACAATGATAATTAATAAATATATAACTTTATCTTATTATCATTTATTATATTATAATAGAATTTTTTATTATTATTGAATAGTTTATAACTTACTTAAGAATAATATCAAAAATTTGAGCTGAAATTTTTTATTTTAATAATTGTTTTGATATTATTTTCATTTGGATTAATAGTATCTAATTTTTTACAAAAATAAGGTGAACAATATTTAAGTACATTAGAATGTGCAGTAAATTTTTTATTATCTTCTACTTCAATAATTATATTGTAATCATCTTTGTCATTAATGTAGTAAGTTGTGCAAAATGTGGAAAAATAAATCAATTTACGTTATACAGAATCCAATTTACATTTATTCTAATACAGTATATTTTTCATAATTTCCACACAAAGATTCAGTATCAATAGTATAATAAACTACATATACGAAGACACTTGATCCAAATTCGGACCATTATTTTGACTGCCTTTTTTATAATAAATAAGAACCTATTCAGATTTCTTTACTCTACTAAGAATTGAATTTTGAATGTTACCATTTTCAATGAGAAAATAAAATTATTATTTGTGTGCACATAAGTATTATTATTATCTCACATCAAAGGATTATAACCTCCAACTGAACCAGTGTAACCATGGCACATGTTTCAAAAGTCTATAGAACAAATCCATTCTTGCTTCCTCATAATATTAGCTGAAATTCATAAGGATAATTTGTTGAAGGATTTTATGGTCAATTCAGGAGGAAATTTCTGCAGCATGTTCATCAGAAATAATGAGTGAAAAGGGTAATCTTGTAGGTAAAATAATTTATTTCACTGGTCAGTCAGGAGATATTAACTGTTACATTAAATCTTTCCAAAGTTGCTTATCAATAAGTTTTACTTTATCTAATATATGGTAAGCATTGTTGCAGAGTAATTTTAAAGTTAAAAAATTATCTTTATTTCAAGATTTATAAGTAGAGTTCATTTGCATATCATGTTTGAGAAAAGATATCAGGGCAGATTCTTGAAGAGATGTAAAATCTTCAGCATCAAGATTTGGCTACTTTGCAATAATGTCATGTCATTACAAAAATTTCAAAATCTTTAAAGTAGTTATTGATAAGAATTGATTGAAAGTGTGTTTTTAACCAAGAAGCTTATCTTTGATAAGAATAGTTTCTAGTTTTTTTGGATAATTCCTCAAATACAAATTCATTATTTTGCCATTTTTGTATCTATAAACAAAATCTATGTAATTTATTATCTGTTATGATTCATTAAATTATAGTAATATTTTTTTTAATAATTTTAGCTTAAGAATTTTATAATATCCAACACTATGAAAACAAGGTGAGTGACATTTAAGTACGTTAGAGTGTGTATAAATTTTTATTATCTTCTTAATGATAAAGTTATTACAATGTAATTATTGAAAAATGAAAAAATAAAATAATCTCAATTTGTTACACAAATTTTTTTCTTCATATAAAATTTATTATCAAAATATAAAGAAATATTTCCTAAAATCTAAATTTTTTAAGTGGTTGTCCTATTTTCCTATTTACTTTTAAAACCTCATAATCATTAATTGAAAATTTTCCTATTTTTGTTCTAATAGATTTTTCATAATCCCCATAATCATTACACCCAGATTCATTATCCATAGTAAAATTAGATGCATTACTATACAAACAAAGGGCACATGCTCCAAAATATGGGCCATATTTATTTTGATGCCTTTTTCCATAATAATATAATGCATATTCAGGTTTAATTACCCTGCTGAGGATTGAATTTTTAATATTACCATTTTTCATTGAGAAGATAAAACTATAAGGTGTGTACTTATAAGTATTGTCATTATTTGTGTTATCCCAGCTTAAAGGATTATAACCTCCCAGAATTTCGTCAGTTCCTTTAACCTTTATAATAATTA